CGGGCGAGGTCGCGCACCCCCACGCCTCGCCGTGCCGTCAGGGGCGCGCTGGGCCACTTTGCGCACGCTCGCGCGGCGACACCGCGATCACGTGGCAGGCCCCGGACCAACAACCAGTCTGCCAGTCTCCAGGGCGCGCCGCCTCCCCAACGCCAGGCTTGCGGCACCTGCGCGGTGGACGCTGGTTGGGAGGGGGCGGTGCGGAGTGGGCGGGGGCGGGCCTCCGAGGGGTGGCGCCTGCGCCGTGGGTCGGGGTGGAGACGTGGAGAAGCAAGAGGAGGGCCTCCTAAGGGGATTTTACGCCTGCAGCGCCCCTTGTGGTTGGGAAGAATGAGCTGATTGAGTTCGAGCAGGGCCACCTGAAACCGGCTGCTTCTAAGAATCTATGAGTTGCAATTGAGAGTCAAACGCCCCAGGTATTTTAATTATTGTTTGAATGGCTCCCAGGGTACCTGCGGTGTGCTGGAAGGCACGCTGGTCTTCTCTTCAGGCTGATGGGTTCAAAGGTTGGTTTCATTGCTGTTTATATTGGAGGTAAAGACCTAAGTGGCATGCTCATTATTTTGACTTGAAAAAAATTTAGAGACAGAAGTTCCAAGAAAGCTGTTTTTTCCCTAAAAACAGGAAATGCATTTCTCTGGTGACCAGAAAAGGTGAGAGACAATCTTACAGTCTAACCACTCCCAACTAGGGCTTTGCAAAAGTCTATTTTGCAGCTTGAAACTTTCTGGAACACCCCCCCACACACACACAGGCAGGAAGGCAAAGCTAACTTCACAGGCTTCATCTTGTATACAGGAATTTACCTGAAAATAAGGCTCATTGATAATCAAGGAGCCAGATAAAAAAAAGATTTAACAATGGATACCTGGGAAGACATTAAATTCTGCATTGCCTTCCTCTAGCATCGGCATCTCTTTGGGTTAGGACAATTTAGAACTATTAACTACTACCAAGAAAGATGACATTCCTAAAGTCAGTAGACTCACTGTGGCTACCTATAGTCACTAAACTCAAACTAGTGTTTATTGGTGCAGCTCTAAATGTGAGCCAGTAAATCCCTCACAGATTTTGAAAGAGCCAATGATAGATTTTAAGCAAGGAATGTTTATTGTGGATCACACACTAGGAGAGGAGGAAAGGATGTCCTAAAGGAACTCTGCAGAGTTTTCTGGACTTTACTCCCTACTCCCAGCTTTCTGGACTCCACCCCCTACTCCAGTGATTGGAAACTACAACTCCCAGCAGTACCAAGGAGAGAACTGCAAGGACTGGAGGGCAAAGCTAAGCAGGCATTCTAGGACTTTGGGGGATATATATATACATATATATATGTGTGTGTGTGTGTGTATGTGTGTGTGTGTGTGCGCCATTTTCTACACACACTCTCTCACGTGCTTTCTCTCTCGCATAGCTGGTGGCTATCAGTGTGTTACTGGAGCTCCAAGTCAGCTGAGCTGGGAGGATGTTCTAGTTACCCTGTATCTCTCACTTTCTCCTTCCCTGGGTTGTTCCTTTTCCTTCCCCCCTTTGTAAATGATCCCAATATTGACCCTTTTATGTGTGCCTGCAGTACAATTAAAATTTAAGCTTGAGGGTGAGGACCCACAGATAGGCAGCCCAGTTCACACTGGGTTGCCCTGTAACACCCTGAGCCAAACTCTTGGCCAGAGAATGTTGGGTGTCCTGGTTTTATGGGGTTGGTTACCAGGGTGGCAGAGCTGGGAGCAGTCACAGGCAGGTTACATATGTCTTTATACTTCGAATTTCTCACTGACTTCTTAAATCTCCACCTAGGGGTGAACAGTTTAGCATCCTAATGAATAATCTTCAGTCATTTTTATGTCAGACTCTCTGCCACCTGAGTCTGCTCATCTACCAGGTGTCAGTTCTTAAAGCCCTCGCCTGAAAATAGGAAATTTCTACAGACTGGAGGGTCTTTTCTCACTGGTGATTTTGTTGAATTCCTGTTAGCATGAGGACTCAAAAACAGGAGGCTAGACAAGCAAGCTCTAAGTCCAAGAGGTTCTGTTACAGTTTGTCTCTTGTTAATCTCACCTGTCAACTTATTTTCCAGATGCTTGGAGCCAGAAGGATAGAAGAAGATTAGGTTTCCCCCCCAACAACTCTTAAATCAAGACTTTCTAACCTTTATTTTTTTCATTTGTAAAGGGGAGACAGTAATACTTATCTGTTGCGGTGAGGGTGAAGTGAGATGGTAGTGAAGGTAACCAAATCAGACCACCCCGAGATTATCAGGATGGGTCTTTTCAGGACACCCAATTTTGGCATGCAGATTATTTTGACTATTTTGAGTTAACAGCAGCGAAAGCCCTAGAAGCTGAGGAGATGTTTTTGTCCTTGTCTGAATTCTTTGCCCTGCCCATATGGAAAAAGAGGTAGTCATTCCCTAAGCATTCGCCCCGCCCTTTCCATAATCACAGAATCCATCGCCCTTTCCATAATAACAGAATCCATTGTTGCACCCTTTTATGTTGTAACAGGGTGGTCCCCAGGAAAAGGGGTTCCAGGTTCCCTGCCCCACCCAAAGGAGGGTCAAACTGAGCAGAGAGAAGAATCTGGAGGCTGAGAAGGAAGGAAGCAGTGTAACAGGGTGGTCCCCAAAAAAGGGGAGGTTCTAGGTTCCCAGGCACATGATGCAGAGAGACATGTAAAGAAGCGGCTCTGGACTGGTTAAAACAGATGTGGATGAGAGACCTGTGGGGAGGTTCACTCTGGCAGCTTTTATCTTGATTCTGATTTTGCTCTTTTCCTCCCAGACTTGTCTGGCCATTTCTGACCCTTTTCCATGGGTCCCGGCCAGAAGGTGCTTTAGACTTGTGGCGGGCTTTCAAGCCTTGCTTTGGGCCAACCCCTTTTGGGTGGACTTTTACCCATGAGGGGCTGGGTAATTTTGGGCCTTGACTTGGAAACTATGTTCTTTGTCTTTTCTGCACACTAGTTGTACTAAAGGTCCTTTCCATTAAAGGTCTTACATGTGATCCCTCCCTGGTGGTGCAGCGGGTGCAAGCACAGCATATAAAGTAATCTGTAGCCATTGCAGCATGAGTTCAATCCCTGGCAAGATGACCCACATGGTGTGGCTGACCTCTCCTGACTGTTCCCTTCAGCAGTGTATTTCAGTCAATCCTCCTGTTCTGCTCCCCATTCTGTTTCTGGTGAATCCTCTCACCCCCTGCACCGCTGCCCTGTACCCCAGTTCTTGTATACATAAATAAATAAGTCTTAAAAAAAGTAATGTTTTGTCTTGATGAAGCAGATGGCAGAATCTTTAGAGCAGGCAAGTTTGGGGGTCCTTGGGTGCCTCTCTCCCTGCTCTTTCACAATGTGACCTAACAGAATTAGTTGGGGTATCATAAAATATAGGGTTGCTGGGATTCAGAGTTGGGATTTGGTGAGAAATCTGAGAAAGATTTTGGCAGTTTCCCAGTGGAAGCTTTCATTGGCACAGGACAAAATTAGTAAGGAAAGAGATGTTTGCATATACACAAACAGGAAAAGGCTGCATTTTGAAGATTTATTAGAAAAAAGAGACACCTGCATAGGTACAGGCAGGTAAAGAGCTGCATTTGAAAAAGACAGGTTCAAGAAAGAGACATCTTCATAGAAATAGGTAAGTAGTCTTAAAGGATAAGATCTGTGTTTTACCAGAGCAAGAGATATTCTATTATAGTATTCTTCCATGAAATTGCCTTGGAGTCAGGTTGGGTTGGTTTTCTGTGACTGATAATTCTCTGGGTCCTGGAAACTTCCATAGCTGGTTTTGATTTAAGACTTGTTAATATAGATACCCCACCTCTTGTTTTTGACCTTGTGAAAACTTCCATGCTAAATTTTTCTACTCTAAACTTCTACCAGAAGAGTTTTATGGAAAGAATAAAAGAAAGGACCCCAGCTCTTCACTTACTCTGTGTTAAATCTGCTTAAATAGAGCATCTACCTCTTTCTCAGGAACTAGCATACAGACATGATCCCTGATGCTCACTCCCTATGCTTAGTTGCATAAGTTTTAATAAGTTCCTGTTTGGTACCTGCAGGACTAGCATTTCCATTCTTTCTGTTATTTGAGAACTAAAGGAGCCAGAATTTCTCTTCTACCTTTGGTGCCTGGGGCCCTCTCTCTCTGACCACACTTGGGACCTGCAGAATCATTATAGCTCCCCCATGCATGTTATTAAATTTATTTTTCATTTGCTAACCTTACTGAGCTGTTCTCATTATTCATCCTAAAGACACCAGTTGGGGGATTTCCCCCTACACCTTGACAGTTGGTTGG